GTTTTTGTTTTTGTTTTTGCTTTTGTTTTTGTTTTTGCTAGGTTGTGGCATTGAATTATTAAAATTTTGTGATGAATGCAATGACCTGAGTGGAGTTCTTAATTTCAGATTAGGTTGATGAGATCTGATTGGTGGTTTTTTGTAGTTGTTTGAATTATGCTTGGAACCAGAATTTGAATGCTGATTTTTTCTTGATTTCTTTGTAGTAGTTGATGTTTCAATTAATGAGCTGTTGTTATGGTAATTGTTGTTTTTGTTATTGTCAATGTTACTATTACTATTAATGCTTTTTAAAGAGGTTCTGACTTTTATCATATCATTGTCTTTTGAAGGTTTAATGCTTGAAGAAGAATGTTCGGAAACCTTCATTGATTCTTTTGATATAGATTTAATTTTTCTTTTGAATCCAGTCGAAAATCCAGAAATAGTATTTAATATATTATCGGAAGAAGGAGAAGAAGTGTGTTTAGAATCGCCTAAACACTTGTAGGCTCTTTCCTTTGATTCTTTAGATATGGGAGCAATTTTTTTCCCAGAACCCGTGGTAAATCCAGAGATTTCTGAAGAATTGTTTGATGTATTATTGAAAGGAAGAGAGGCAGAATGTTCAGAAACATCAAAACACTTGTAGGGGTTTTCCAATGGTTCATTAAATGTAGGAGTAATGATTTCCTTGAATCCTGTGGATAATCTTGAAAATTCCACATTAATACTACTACTACTATTATTGTTGTTACCATTGTAAAAGTTTCCACCACCATCATTATTATAATTAGACGGTCTTGATGATGTAGTTTCATCAAAGTTATTAATACAATTGTTATTATTGCAACTATAATTCATGAATAGAATATCATTATTACCATCTTCAACAACATCTTGTAAAGAAGATAATTTTCTAGTTTTTGTCCAAGTATTCATTGAAACTTCAGGAAGTTTATGTTTGCTGGTCAGCATAAATTCAGGATCATCATTATTAGCATCATAGTTATTGTTGTTATTTTTAATAATAATGTTGTTAGAATTGCCATGATTGTTATTGTTATTGTTTAACATATGATCATAATCAAAATTATTATTTTCTATGTAATAATTATTATTGCCATTTAATAAAGGTGTTGTTAGTGTTTGATTGATGTTATTGTTGTTGTCAATATTTATAAAATTTTGTAAATCCCCTCTCATACTAATACAATGATCAATATCTATGTTAGGATTATATTTGATGTAGTTGATGTTCGTATTATTATTAATTTTACGAAAAGGTGTTGGGCTTTCATTGAAAATATGATTATTGGTGTAGTTATCATCATCATCATTATAACAGTGATCGTTATAATAATAATGATTAGATTCTATTAGATCAGATTGTGACGATACTAAAGATGTTAGTTGTATATATTCCTTATTATTGACTTATTAATTCAACAAAAAAATGAAATATTTATTTGAGATACTTTTCCTTGATCTATACAATTATATGTATATTGCTTACCATCAACAATTAAAGATCTTTCATGGTCAAGGTTATTGTTATAATTGTTGTACCTATTATCATTTACAGTTGAAATAGTAGCAGTAGTAGCAGTGTTGATAGTAGCAGTGTTAACAGTAGTAGCAGTGTTGACAGTAGTAGCAGTAGTATTTGAACCTGGAAAAGATTTAACAGGCGTAGGAAGAATATTAAAAGTAGTGGGAATATTTGACATTATTTCAGTATGTTGTTGTTGTGTTATTTATTATCAATATTATTAATATCACACTATTTATCAAGTAGAATTAACTTATAAGCAAATAACTATTTTGAAAATAAAACGCGTCAGGGGAAGGAAATAATTATTAAACAGGGCCCCTGAATAGACCACACTTGTGTATTTTCTGTCACGCGTCAATTTAACATTTTGGAATTAAAGGAATTAAAGATAATGAATTAATTAATATTTTGTCAATCAGTAAACTTGTTACAATAAAGTACATATTATATATAATTCATATAAATTGTAGCAAGTTATATCACCATACTTAAAAATTATACTTTTTTTTCCTTTAATTTTCTTTTGAAATAAAAGTATGAACAACAATATTATTGAAATTTCCAATATCGAAAATTTTCAAAACAATCTAAAAGGTACATAATTTTCATTATATAATAATTGATTTTTATTTTTTATTTATATTAAAATATTTTTTATAATGTTAAATAATAGATTGTTGGGTCTATATTAATAACAATGATGATAAAATCAAAAAAATCATAGAAAATTATAAATATGATAAAAATAATAATGAAAATAACAATGATGATTGTAATTATGATTATGACAGTTATATTGAAGATGATTGTTGCGCTGGTGACATTAGCGATGAAGATAATAATAGTGAAACTGGTGATAAAGATATTAATGACAATGACGATCTGATGATGTTACTGCTGCTTTTACTTTCACTTATACACTTACCATCACTACTGATAATAATATTGATATTAACAATAATTACACTAGTCATAGTATCATAGATTAAAGTAGCAAAAGATTTGTTTGCACGTCTCCAGGATGTACAAAAAAGTATTTAGTTAAAAATCATATTATTACCATATAAATTTCATGCTGTTCCCCTCTAAACGCTAGATATTATAATGAATCACGTTCAATTTGTGTCACCTTGTCCATTATTTGAAAAGAAGCAGACTAAAACCATTAAACAACACATTTATGAAAATATACACGCTTAAATTTACAATTATTTAGCAAACTTATTTCTTAATCATGAGATATATAGCATTTATTAAATAATTAACAAAATGTTATTATAAATAGCAAATGGTGATAATGATTAATCAGTTTTAATTGCTGAAACTTCATGTAAATAAGCACCAAGCAATTTGATTCCTTGTATATAGTTAGATAAATCGAGTTTTTCATTAGTAGAATGAGCTCCCTATATTATTCAATGAATGAGTGAATGAACGAATTAATTAATCAATCAGCAGATATCAAACAACCCCGTCAATCAAGAAATATTGGATTGTTCGATGATAAGGTAAAGCTAGGCAATGAATTAAAAGATGCAATAGACTTGATGATCAATGATCAAATCATATCAAAAGATATTATAATATGCGGTCTATTGGTAGATGGTAAGTATTTTCAAGGATTTATTTGCCAAATAGCAATAAATACAACTACCTTATTCACACTTTCTCATCTGCTAAGGTTACCAATGTAATTTATACACAATGGACTTGAAATATAGTGGAATCTATAGAATGATTCTCTTGGGTGTCTTCTACCTTCCTCGTAGCCATCATGATTTTGGTGTTTTCCAAAGAACAATTGAATTATTAACTCAATTCAAAGTAAGTAAAAGAACATGCTTTTTATATGATGATTTTTTATGGTACATCACTGATTTGTTTTGTGTTTTATTAAAAGGTGATTGTTAATCAAACATCTGAAATATGCATCCAGAGCTTAAGAGGGCTGCAAGATACAAGATGTACAAAACATGATGGTTCCACTGTTCTTTCCGAAATTGTGAAAAATAATGAATCTTCTTCTAAATCACCACCTCATGAAAGGATGACAAGATCTTCATATCATTCTCCAATCAAAATTCCGCTCTTTTAAATAAGAAATTGATGATAAAATTCTTTGCTTTTGCTGTTCTAGTTTCGATTTACAATGACAACGTTTTTTAGTTGGAGGTTGCAGCAATTTAACATTCGGTAATGTTTCCAAATCATTATAACCAGCCGCAATTAGTTTTTGCTTATCTCAAGTTTTAATATAAATGGTACATTATTATAATTTCCTTTTTCTTGAGTTCATTTTTATTGTTTGAATCTTTCATTATGAAGGGAAAAAATAAGAAATAGAACCAAGATCAAATGATTTAAAAT